TGTATCATTACTTTTGCATTTGGTTATTCCATTAGCCTCAATCTATGCACTATGTAGGGCTTCCTTAGTTATCACTTTACTCTCCAATAAGAGACATGTCAAAATGAGGATTCCATCATAGATCTACAAGGATTTTTGGTGATTTAAAATTTGGAAAGAAGAAAAGGAACATCATCATATCATACCTGTCTTCCTTTTAGGGTATATTTGGCATTAGATATATCCTATCCTAGGTTGTTCCTTGCTGGAACACATGAATTGATCTTCATCATGAGAAGATTCTCTAAAGTAGGATGGATTGAAAAGAAGGGAATATAGAATAGCATTTCACATTTTTTGCTTTTGTGCTAATGACACATTGCTGCATACATTAATTTATTTCAATCAATTGGGATTGGGAACATTGGTTGCTTGCTTGGTACGTTTCAAAGGAACTAGAGAAAGTCGACCATATGCCTCACCTTTCATCTGAGGTCCCTGTCATTGATTCAGCACTACTCTCAAATGGGAACAAGGAGGAGTTGTTCAAATTGGACGTAGCATGCAAGGAATGGGGTTTCTTTCAGGTAATTCTTCACCAACAAAATTGTCAATTACATACAAAAATAGACAAACAGAAACTAGCACAAAGAAGAGCACCTCTACAACATAAAAACAACATCAACATTCAACAGCAATAGGGGTAACCGATTCGCCAGGAATACATTGACTATTAGAGATACCATACATAACCATTCATGTACCTTCATTTAAACAACTTAGCTTATAGTATAATTAATTGCTGATCAGTCTTTTAGATCTAGTGGACTAGAGTTGCTTCTCATTGTCCTCATTCTATTACAAACTAGTGGACCTATGTATTTATTATCCATGGTTCAAGTCTAAAGAAATCTTGCATGAGGGCATGACAGAAATATAATATAAAAGGATTCAACTTATTTTATCACAAGAAGAGTGTATTTTAGAGGATAAAATATAATAATAATCATTTATTAGAAAATCAACTATTGTAATTAACTTTAAATTTTGTTATATATATATATATGTATATCATAATTCTTGATTGTTGATTTCTTAATTAAAGATTGTGAATTTATTTTATTTTCTTGTTAGGCCTACTCGAAAACCGCATGAGATTTCTCGAAAGATAGTATAAAATCAACACTTGCCAATAATAGATGCTTGAGATCGAAGAAAAGTAGTTCAAGATTGAACAATAATGTGCTCGAAAATTAGTGGAGTGGTGCGGGGTGCTTATGGTCATACTAAGGTAGTTATCGAGTATAGGTCGAGAAGTTAATCTACGTTGGGGAACGGTTATGAACGGTTATGAGGGGTTACAATGTAGAGTCACGTAATAAGCATAATGGATAACGGTTATCTTATGATGATCTACGTGCGTGAACTTAACCGTTGTTGATTGACTCTATAAATTCAAAGGTTCTATATCTTGAAAAAGGTCGGAAAACTCATACTTCAACCAGACTTTCAAGCATTCTCTGCCTGCACACATGGCTTCCATGCGAGGAATTATCTTTGGGTATGATCACTTCTCGGCCACTTTTATTTTCTCTTTTTAGGATTAGCATTAGTTTAGCTTTCTCTTTATTAAATCATTGGTGAAAGTACTCAAACGCTGAAAATATTGTAATGATTGGATATTATGAATGATGATCTGTATTGCTAATATATCTATTGTTCATTCTGTTTATCTGAGTATTTATGTACATGAATATTATTATCTGTTAATCATTGACGAATACTTAGAAACAGTTAATCATTAAAACGTTTTACTCCATTGTTGTTGTTCTGTATCTCATTTCGTAAAGACACGTCAAATACCTAAATTGAAACCTTGCCTGTGTGCTAGTTCGAATAAAAAGAACCTTTAAACGTTTTTCACCATAAACAAATTGGCACGCCCGGTGGGACACGTTTAAATCAAACATAATTGGACTAGTTTTAGGTATGCGTGTTGCATGAGACTTAGGAGTGGAAGAACTATGTCTACATCGAATGCTAGTAATAGAAGGGAAACAAATAATGATAACCATGTTGATGTGGAACCAGAAAATCCTCACCCTGATAATATGACTAGTGGGACAAGGGGGGCAACAGTATCGTCCCCAGTCATAGTCGAAAATGTTCCTAGGCTTGAACATGGGGCTAGGAAAACTAATATGACTCAGGAATTAACTAATGTCACTCGAGAGTACCCCTGGGGCATGCCACAGAATTGGCGCAATACCCAACCAGTACATGTCGAAATGCCTATACCTTTATTAGGAACAAACCCACAAGTACACGTATCTCCACAGGGATACAACCCTGGGCCAAATGGTTTGGGTTTTGTTATGCAAGACCCATATCAACATGTAGGAACAAGTCAGGAGGGTTCTCTGATTCGACCAGGCAGTTATGTACCTACGGGTATTAGTAACCAAGCCATGATGGCTCTTCGACAACAAATGGACCATAGTAATCATGACATGGTTAATTTGCTATCAACTCAAATGCATAATATTATGACTCCTCTGTACGAACTGATAAATAAAATAGGAGATAAATTAGGTGATAGGACACCTTCGAGAGCCATGAGCGTGAATTTGAATGAGATGGAAAATCCTGGGGGGAATGAGCATTTTCATCAGAACGTAGTTCGACCTAATAGAAATCCACAGGATAACTTAGATCAAATGGTAGAAAGAATACTGAATAGACATGGATTCGATGTAGGTCGAAATGAACGTCCCTACTTTGTGTCAGCCTTCCCGGATTATATGACTCAAGTAGAACTACCCCGAGGAATAAAAGTACCAAAATTTTCAAAATTCCCGGGAGAGCTAACTGAGTCAACAGTCGAACACATAGCTAGGTATGGGGTCGAATGTGGGAATTTGGCAAATAATGAGTATTTAAAAATGAAATATTTTCCAAGTTCATTGACTAAACACGCTTTTACATGGTTTACAACCCTGCCCCCTAATTCGATACACACTTGGGTTCAGTTAGAAGGAAGCTTCCATGAACATTTCTTCAGAGAAGAAACGAAAGTGAGTATAGTCGATCTAATGAATATTAAGAGGCAAAACCACGAAACTTTAGATGACTATCTAAATAGATTCAGGCAATTGAAATCTCGATGTTATACTAATATACCTGAACATGAATTAGTTAGGATTGCAGCAACAGGGTTAGATTTCTCGATACGCAAAAAATTAGTGAATGAACAGTTGAGAGATATGGCCCAATTAGCCGAGAAGGTAAGAAGAATTGAGCAAATCAAAATAGAAAAAGAAAGATTAAGAAAATTTGATAAGTTTGTTCGAAAGGAAAAGGTGGCTTACTTAGAAAATTCTGAATTCAGTGAAGATTCTAACTGTGAGGTTTCGAGTGAAGATTTTGAGATCAACTTAGCAGAACTGCGTCCTGGCCCCACGTATCAGTGTCAAATGTTAAAACCAGGAGATAGTGTAGAAGAAAATTTGACTAAGAAATATAGTTTCGATGTAACTAAAGCAGAAAAAATATTTGATATCTTACTAAAAGATAAACAAATTGTACTCCCAGAAAATCATAAGATCCCATCATTCGAGCTGAGAAAAGGAAAGAAATTTTGCAAATATTATAATATGTATGGTCATTGGACTAACAACTGTGTACGTTTCAAGGATTTGATCGAAAAGGCGATTACTGATGGTCGCCTTGCTTTCGGAGAAAAGGATATGAAAGTTGACACAGACTCATTCGCTGCTCATACTGGATATGTCGAACCAGTTTCGATGGGGATCAACATGGTGGATGTTGCTATCGAGGATGATGAGAACATCGAGCCGATTTTTGATGAGAAGCTCAAGGAGTTAATGGAAGATTTTGCTAAGGAACAAGAGTCCATCTACCCTAAAGAGGGAGATACCTTAGTCGAGTTCTTGTCTAAAAAGAAAGAGGTCGATAGGGAAGTGATGTTATGCCCTCGATGCAGCGCCGTTTTCGATAGAGCTGCTGCTAAAGCCTTTGAAGATTCAGATATGATGAAGAACTATAAAGCTGAAAATCTTCGACAAAAACCCAAGCCTAATGCTGGACCAAATGTTGGGTTAACTATGAGGCAGGTTCATATGCCTCAATATAATGCTCCAATAGGAAAGATGGAGATGTATAATTCATCAATATTCGGCAACACTTTTGTGCCGAATGCGCATGTGCCTGTGGGAAAATGGATTGCTCCACCAAGGCCAATGATGAGAGGCATGGATCGAGGAAAACAGGTAATGAGTTATGCTACACATCCAATGCAAGGGATTCCTGGAAAAGCTCCAAATTCGACTACAGGGCCTGCTGGTAGAGTCTCGACTGGAGGCTGTGAGCGTGTCTTTCGACAGCCTTTCAACAATCTAACCAAAACTCAGTGGAGGAGACAGCAAAGGATGCGTAAGGCTACCTTTGAAGGTGTCAGGGGAAACCGTTTCTCGATTCCTGTACCTCAAAAAGGGGAATCATCTCGAAAGTTCCTTGAGGATGATGAAGACATGATAACTGATTGTTTCGAGAGTGGTTTCGAGGACTCCCTAGAAGACATTTGTGGGATAGTCTCCATTCTGCCTTCTGAGTATGCTGGGGCCTTGGAGGCCGTGAATGAACAGGAGGACATTCATCGAGAAGACTTCTTTGATGATCCTAACTATGAATCGAAGATCATATGGGTCAATCAAATCTCGAGGGTTGTACCTAAATTTAACTCTGCTGTGTTCGACTCGCCTACAGAGGAGATGAAAGGACATCTTAAGCCCCTATTGCTAACACTGATGATTGAGGGGCAGGAGGTGAATAAGGTTTTAGTCGACGGACGTGCAGCGGTGAACATCCTGCCCAAAACAATGCTAAAAAGGTTTGGGAAATCCCTGGCTGATTTGAAGCCTCATAACATAATGATCTCATAACTTCTCTACTGAAAATAAAGAGTTTTTTCTAATGGAAAAACTTTCAAGAACACTTCTGACATGTATCCAATGAGGTTGAAAGAGTATCTTGGAATCTCTAGGCCATCAGATGCTATTTCTAAGCATGAAATAACTTGTTATTTTGCAGATGGGGCTCAACTAATTCTAGTGAACAATTGTGGGGAAAGTACATGGCCAGGGATACTTGGTGGAGTAGGACATCATACTCTAAAATATGGCGGGGTGCATCTTGGAAGTGGTGAAGAACTAGTGCTTGATGTGCCAGAGAAGTGGTCAGGGAGAATTTGGGGCAGGCAGGGTTACAACTTTGACAATGATGGAAATGGCCACTATCTTACAGGTGATTGCAATGGGAAGCTACACTGTAGAGGACAAGGAGGGGTACCACCAGCAACAGTGGTTGAAATGACCCTTGGATCCTCCTCCTCTCCCTTGCACTTTTGTGATGTGAGTTTGGTTGATGACTTCAACTTGCCTGTTTCCATGAAGCCAATTGGGGGTGGAATTGGGTATGGTGTGGCCTCCTGTGAGGTGGATTTAAATGTTTGTTGTCCTTCAGCACTTGAGGTGAAGAGAAATGGCAAGGTTGTGGGTTGTAAGAGTGCATGCTTGGCTATGCAATCAGCAAAGTATTGCTGCACAGGGAGTTATTCTGACCCCAAAACATGCAAGCCTACCCTTTTTGCTCATCTCTTTAAGGCTATTTGTCCTAAGGCATATAGTTATGCATATGATAACTCTAGCAGCCTTAACAGATGCAGGGCTCCAAGATATGTTATCACTTTTTGCCCTCCTCCAATCTAAAAGGATCTACATGACAAAATGAAGTTGAAGCTATTGTTATAGAATTGCAAAGGTTATTAGTCATTAGTGAAGAACTATTTCCTGGATGATATTTTAGTTTTTTTTTCTTAATACTCAATTGGTATAGTTATGTATTTCTTAGTCTTTTCTTATTCTTCTTAAAGAGTCATTTTCTTTGTCATCAAGTTAGTTTAAAAGAACGGTAGATTGATAATAAACAACATTTCACATTTTTGGCTCTTATTATTGACGATGCTTTGTCATGTAAAAAGTTTAATTAAAAAAGTAAACTTGGGAAGAATCAGTTGTGAACTCGACATTTTGCTTACATCAAAAGGGAAAAACAAAATATTGGTATCATGTGACCAAGTACTTGCACCAAAGAAAAGGGGAAAGAAACATTGTGCAACATCATTTGCAATAAAAAAAAATTATGGACAACATACCAAAAGATATAAATGAATGATGAATCTAAGAAGATTAAACTCTTTCCATCTTTTATCTCGCTACCAAGTCACAAAATTGAACTCTACATTTCTTCCATGAAAGTGTAATTAAGAAAGATGATAATTCAGTCCACATGAGCTTTTGCTCATTAGAACTCTAGCAGGTTTGGTTGCACTAAAATAATGACTATCCTACAATTCTAGGTCAAGTAAAGTTACCTGCACTTAAATATAGTATATCTCTTTGATATGAGTGCAAAAATTTATCCTCAAGATTTTATCTTTAAAAAATGTCACATGTAAGAGTTGAAATTCATTTAACATTAGCTTTTCCTTATTGGATGCAAAAATTTTAGTATGAGTCATGTGGTATCATTACTTTTGCATTTGGTTATTCCATTAGCCTTGATCTATGTACTATGCAGGACTTCATATAGTTATCTATTTACTTTACTCTCCAATAAGAGATATGTCAAAATGAGGATTCCATCATAAATCTACAAAGATTTCTGGTGATTTAAATTTAGGAAAGAAGAAAAGGAACATCTTCCTCATATCATACTATCATCTTCCTTTTAGGGTATATTTGGTATTAGATATGTCCAATCCTAGGTTGTTCCTTGTTGGAAAACATGAATTGTTCTTCATCATGAGAAGATTCTATAAAGTAGGATGGATTGAAAAGAAGGGAATGTAGAATAGCATTTCACATTTTTCGCTTTCGTGTTAATGACACATTGTTGCATACATAGTTTAATCTATTTCAATTAATTGGGACTATTGGTTGTTCACTTTGTATGTTTTAAAGGAACTAGGAAAACAAATCTAACTGCATCTTTTTTTTTTTTAATTCTATGAACATAGTCCACACAATGCTTTAAACTTGGCGCTTGTGGGGCGAGTCTTTCGTTGGTTAAACATTATTTGAACTGGAATTGCATTTATTATAAGCTAAATGGTCCATATTACACAATACACACTGAAAATTGCATATTATACATTGAAACTTCTAAAAGAATTTCAATTAGTGTAGTTGAATAGAAAAACTTATCTTACGGTAAGTATCCCATTAAACTATTTTTTGTTGAGAATATGGATGATTTGTAATACGACTGAATTATGAATCCGAATATAATCCTTTGATTAATAATATGAGAATGAGATTACAATTGGTTGAAGAAATGCCCTGCAACATTTAGAATAGTAAATATTGTATGCCCTTGTGGTGTATAGAAATTTTATATGTTTATCATCCTTTATCAGAAAAATCAAACCAAGTGATTTTGGATTGGTTGACATGCATATAAATTCAACATTGATTAGAATTCTAGAAATGAAAAACAAGATGAAAATATGGCTAAACAAGACTACCCATAATTGTCACAGTACTCTTTGCCCCCAATAACCTCTCCATAAAATTAGGGGTGGCAAAACGGGTCAATCCGAACCGTTTTGGCCCGGCTCGCCAAAAAATGGATCAGGCTAGATCGACTTGCCATTGAAAAATGGACTGAAAATATTGACCTACCCCGCCTAAATGCGGGCCGATGGACCAGCGGGCTACCCCACATTACATTAAAAAAATGTGAAAAAAAATTGCAAAAAAATAGTCAATGAGCTGGTAGGCTTGGCGGGGCGAGGTTGGCGGGGGGAGGTTGGCGGGTTGGAATAATGGGCCTAGCCTGCCAATTTTTGGTGAGCCAACAAGTCGGCCTGCAGGCCACAACCCATTTTGCCACCCCTACATAAAATTCATTTCTAATCCACCATTTTTGCACTCAACATAACAACCGCCTCCTATATTTGCTCTCCACTATCCCTTTCTTCATCTATAGTAATCTCTCCATATCATACCAACAAAGTATGACATGGTTGGTAGATGACGTGTTCTTTAAACATATGATCAAAGATTCAATCTGTGATCAATTTATTATTGGGAGATGTCAACCTCTTAAATGAATCTCATTTCAAAAGATTAGCTTTCGAAAAGTAAGGACATACCTTTCTTTGCCAAAAAGAAAAACTCCATTTCTTTGGTCCATGACTTAATGAATGTGGTATTTGGTCTATATCTATCTTCTTGGGACATGTACTCTTGGGCTTTAACAATTTACTGCTAAAAACACAAATACAATGGCACCAAGTGTAAGATTTTTGTTTACTTTAGAACCAATACCATTACCATTACAATAGTACTTAAAGAGACAATGAGATTGTTCCCTTGTGTAAACCAAACATGTTGGATTTAAACATTATTTTCGATTCTTTCTATGCCAACCTTGTAGAAAAGACTAACTCACCAAATCAACAGAGCTTAAGTAAATTTATTTTCTTTGGACCCTCCGTTGTATAGGTGCAATAGATCAAAACAAAGACAATTTGACAAAAATAAGATGAGTTGCAATGTAGATAATGGTGTGTTAATGACTCAAATGGAAGATGTTGAACCAATCTCTAAAGATGGTTTAGAGAAACTTTTAGAAGATTTATTGAATGAGAAAAAAGGAATTTATATCCTAAAGAAGGTGATACTTTGTTGGAATTTCTGTCGAGGAAGAAAGAAATGGAAAGATTGGTGATGTTATGCCCAAGGTGCAATGTTGTGTTTGGTCGTTCTACTACAAAAGCCTTCAAGGAATCTGAGATAATGAAGAAGCTACAAAAGAAGGCAAGTTCAAATGTCAATTTATCCATGAAACAAGTGCATACTCCTCAATATAATGCACCTATGGGAAGTATGAAAATGCATAATTCATCAAGATTTGGTAATACTTATGAGCCCAATTCCACTGTTACAGGAGTCTAATGTAGGGTGGACCTAAGTTCTATAATGGTTACTCTAGGAATTATAATAGGGGAATTTAGTCTCTTATTAATAACATGACTAAGACTTAGTGAAAAGGGCAACAAAGAATGAAAAAAATCACTTTCAAAGGACATGGGAGCAATAAGTTTCGATCTCTGCTCCACAAAAAAGGGGGATCATCGAAGAAGATACTAGGATTAGATGATGAAGATGTTATTACTAATTGTTTTGAGTATGGATTTGAGGATTCATTGGTAGATATTTGTGGAGTGGTTTCTATATTGCCAAATGAGTATATAGGATCTATGCAAACATTAAATGATCATGAAGATATGAAAAGGGGATTTTGTGGATGATCCTACATTTGAATCGAAGGTAGTTTGGGTGAATCAAGTTTCATGTGTTATGTCCAAATATAATGCTACTATTTTTTATCCTTCTACTAATGAAATGAAAGGTCATTTGAAGCCACTATTGTTAACTATGACAATCGAAGGTTAGAAGATCGAGAAAGTTTTAGTAGATGGAGCAACAATAATTAAAATCCTTCATAAAACTATGTTAAAAAGATTGGGTAAGAACGTTTCTAATTTAAGGCCTCATAATATTTTAATCTTAGATTATGTTGAAAAATCTCTTGATTCAGATGGTATGATAATTCTGGATGTGCAAGTGAAGAGTGTGATAAGGATGATTATGTTCACATGGTAGTCTCTTCAAAGGCTAATTTCAATTTTTTGTTAGGAAGAGAATAGATACATGGAATTAGGATAGTACCTTTGACTGTTTATCAAAAAATATTCTTTTGGAATGAAAAAAGGAATTTGGAAGTTGTGGATGCTGACCAAAAGTATTATGAGGTCAAAATTTACTATGTTAATCAACAAAACACTACTTTTGCAAGATCCTTTCATTTTTTAGGAAGAGGAAGGTGTAGTGAAGTTTTCTTGTTGGGATATTAAGAAAGGATATTTAGACAAAACTGTTATCCCTAAAACCCTTCAACCTACTCGAAGATAAGACATCGAAAGAAGATAACTTGAAGAACTCTAGAAAGGGACATAAAAAAATCTAGGGTGATCAACAATTATAGTTTTGAGTATTGAAAGGTTGGAAGTTAGAGTAATTACTATTATTTTTTATGATTGTACATGTGTAAGGTTAATATTAGATAACCATCATAATATTTTTTCTTTAAATTCTTGAGTCAAACTCAGAATTAAAGGTCAGAAACATTTTTTACAAACTTACTTTATATCTTATTCTGCTTATTCTGATGGCTTTTGCTTTTGAGGATAGTTTGTATATATTTATGCACCAACTTTTTTTTTTTCCTTTTAGTATAATATACTTTTATGTATTTTTATTATAGTTTCTTCCCTTTAATTTCTTGTTCTTGATATGATTTCTTTAATCAATACTCATGTTAATCAACTGATCATTGTTACTTTTACTTTTAATGATATAAGCCTCGTAATAATTAATGATCAAGTCTTATTTGAAAATCATAATTTAAATTTACTGAACGAAATCCATAAAAAAAAAACAAGCAAAATAATTATATGTAAATAATGCATGTATTCTTTTTTGACCGCTAAGTAATGTATGTTTAATGCTTAGTAAGAAATTAAAATTAAAAGATTAAAAAACACATGAAAACTTAAAATGGCAAGTGAGCAATTTATTAACGTGACAAAATCATAATTATATTGAGTAACTCACGGGTCAATGTGATAGTTCAAAATTATACTTATAAAGTAACTCACGGGTCAATATAGCTCACATTACAAGTTTAATAGATACCTTAATTTAAGTGATGATAGAGGGAAAACAAGGACAAATTATTAAAAGATGCAAATTTTGAATGAAAAAGAAAGGTTGGAAAATACATCGAATACAATCCAAAGCTAAGAAAAGAACACAATTACAGTGATTTGGTGGGATCACAAAGCTCTGCTCCCCGATTCGCATTCCATGGAAAGCTAATACCAACAACCAAAAACGATGAGACATATAGGTGAATTTCAAATTTCTATAATTTACTCTTTTAGTACATTCTATATTTTGTTCCATTATTTTTAGTGGTAAAATCACATGCATTGATAAAGTTGCAATAAAAATGATAAATTGAGGAATGAAATGCTTTGTTTCATAAATTATAGTGGAAATACAACTAAGCTTATGAATTAGAGAGATAAAAGGTTTTTTCATCCATTATTTTCCGTAAAACATAATTATTTTTTAAATACTTGTTTGTATTATGAATAATTGATTAATAAATATTACCTATGGTCATTTATGTAAAAAATATAAATGAGAGTATTTTTTTTCTTCTAATTATAAGAACCATAAATTCAATTTCAAATGTATTAATTAATTATTAGTAAAAAAAAACATGTACTCACTCCGTTTTATAATGAGTGTTGCTTTAAAAAATACATTTGAAAATAAGTGTCATATTAGATTTTTTAATGGAGAATTAATTACTTTTTTTTTTTTACATTTATACCTTAATTATTATATATGTAAAAAGTAATTTTTATGTTACATTGTTTTTGAAAAAGAAAATCAATTATAAAACTAATTTTATAAAATTAGTTTTATTTTTCATCTATTTATTAGTTTTTCTTGGTCTATGTATAATAATCTAGAACTACACTTATTATAAAATAGAGAAAATTCTAATTATTATTTTTTTATACTCTTAATTTATTGTGAAGTGTATTAATGAGACATTTGGGATGAATATATTCATTAGATATTAACATTATAATCACACTCATTAATTAAAAAAAAATGTGTTCATCGAATTATAAGTAATGCTATTAATTGTAACTATAACATGTTATTTAATTTTGAGAATTTATAGAAGATAATTTAACTTTATAATATTAATTAATTAATTTAACTATTTTTATTACTCTTGATGTAATGTACTATTTCATCAATTCATGAATTTGTTTCTTATATATTGAACTAAATTTAGCAATGTACTATTTCATTGATTAATGAACTATTGTAATTGTTTGTTATATGTAGAACTAGAACTCAAATTATTCGCGCCACTTCTATTCAAAAAGGACATAGTAGGTCATAGAGCATAAATTTTGAATTGTGTTACCATGTTAAAATCTTAAAATTGTTACCGTGAATATAAATTCACTCATTAGTTTCCTTGTCCAAGAATACTTGTAGTCATAGGTTTTTAAATTTGTTCATCCCTATGAAAGTGAGAACCAACTTTATTCGTCACACAATAAAGCTCTAATTTTGTACCTTTGTGACAAAGCACATACAAGATATGAAGCAAGAGTTAAACAGGCTTTATTCTTGTTTCTTATTTTTATGGCTTTTTCTCTTTCTCTTTTTTCCCTTTATCTGGCAAAATATAGAACGTACTACATCACTAGGTAAAGAGAAGAGGGGTCCCTACTCGCCCCTTTGCCACGTATTATTTGAACGTAGTTCCAAACTTTGATATTAGGAACCTTCCCTTAACACATTCTCAATTTCACATTAATTTCGCTCCTAGTAGCTACAAAAATATTACCCCATATAAAAGAAAAGTCGTTGGACAGAGAGAATTTTCAAAATTTTAATGTTGGCCGGAGATCTCACGTGAATTAATAAAAAGGTTATAATATTATATATAAATAAAAAATAATTTTTAATTACAAGCTATATTTGTAAAATTGAGTAAGGTTTCAACCTATTTTCTAAGATGATATCAAAACATATTAGATTCTATATCATAACAATTATTAATTGTTATTAGAATTATTTTATCTACTATCAGACTGTTTATAAATGTCCAATCTTACAAATTTTACTATTGATATGACCAATTTTCAACAAGAGAAAGATGTATTGGAGATTTCATGTCAATAATAAGATAAAATAGTGTATATAAGTGAGAAGTAATATAAGTTAATTTTATCCCGTTGAATTGAATTGCAATTTACTTTCTAAAAATATCTTTAAATAATGAATGTGTTTGAATCTTGCAAATGAAAAAAAGGATAATTAAAATTTGAGAGAAAAAATCTTATTAAAGATAATAAGTTAAACAAAAATTAGTTTTGACAAGTTATATATTGCATCAATAGTTACTTAATATATATATATATATTAAAGCAAAAGAGAATAATTAACCAATTTGACTGGGAATGATACGTGGCGAATCTTGATTTGTTCCCAAGTGTCCTATACTCGTTATCCTATCTTGTCATTCAATTTTTCCTAACGAAAGTTACAAAATGACTAATGAAATAGTAATTATGTCCATCATGTTGTTTCTGTACCAAATGATAAGCTTGTACGCAATTAAATAGTGACATAAAATTTCGAAAAAGAAAAGCGTGAATGAACAAAGTGAAAGTGATGTATCCGATTTTTTGCATAAATAAAATTGTTGGGTACTCCATCTTTTGCAGTTACAAATCTTGAGTGGTCACTTCCTCGTTTAACACCTAGAGGAAGTTCGTTTTCCTTACGGTGAAATTGCGAGGATCTTTCCTGGTGGACCACACTTGCAAGTTCAAATGTGTTCTACTTCTACACGTTTTGGGCGCCCGAAAAATCCTAGAAACCAGCAAGAATGAAGAAAACTTGACCAGAAGAAGCAAATTGCAACATAGAAGAAAAAAAAAAAAACCATGTCTCTCGAGTTTGTAACAGTGGTGTTTTTTCTGGCAACAACAATAGTAGCGAGTGATGACACCAGTTTCACCTATAATGGGTTCCAATCATCTCGTTTGCATCTTGATGGCAGTGCTGTGTTCACCACCAATGGCATGCTTAAACTCACCAATCACACCATGCAGCAAAAGGGTCATGCTTTCTTCGCAAATCCAATTGTCTTCAAGAACACCCCAAATGGGAGTGTTCCTTCTTTCTCCACCAGTTTTGTGTTTGCCATAAGATCTGAGTACCCCAATTTGAGTGGTCATGGGATTGTTTTTGTGGTTTCTCCAACAAAGGAGTTTCAACATTCCCTACCAAGCCAGTACCTTGGCCTCTTCAATGAGACCAACATTGGCAGCAACAACAACCATGTCTTTGGGGTGGAACTTGACACCATTCTGAACACCGAGTTCGGTGATATCAATGACAACCATGTTGGAATTGATGTCAATGATTTGAAGTCGGTTAAATCGGCTGCTGCAGGGTATTACATCAATGGGGGGTTCAAGAATTTGAGCCTCATCAGTGGCTACCCAATGCAAGTGTGGGTGGAATATGATGGCCAAAAGAAGAAAATTGACGTTACTTTAGCTCCAATCGACGTTGATAAACCGGAAAGCCCTTTGTTGTCATTGAGCAAAGATCTTTCTCCAATTCTCAACACTAGCATGTATGTTGGATTCTCATCCTCAACCGGGTCAATTCTAAGTTCTCATTATGTTTTGGGTTGGAGCTTTAAGGTGAATGGCCAGGCTCAAAAACTTGCAATCTCTGAACTCCCCAAGCTACCGACACTAGGTGGCAAAGAAAAATCCAAGATTCTCTCTGTTGGGTTGCCTTTGATATTACTCAGTTTGATTCTCACGGTGGCTCTAGCAGTGGTTCGTGTCATCAAGAGGAAGAAGTTTGCGGAGCTGCTTGAAGATTGGGAGCAAGACTATGGTCCTCACAGGTTCAAGTACAAGGATCTTAGTGTGGCAACAAAGGGGTTCAGGGAGAAGGAGCTTTTGGGGAGTGGCGGATTTGGTAGAGTCTACAAAGGTGTGATGCCAATTTCAAAAATTGAGGTTGCAGTGAAGAAGGTGTCACATGAGTCAAGACAAGGGATGAGGGAATTTGTGGCAGAAATTGTTAGCATTGGCCGTCTTAGGCACAGGAATTTGGTTCCTCTTCTGGGGTATTGCAGGCGTGAAGGAGAGTTACTATTGGTCTATGACTACATGCCAAATGGAAGCCTTGACAAGTATCTCTATAATAAACCAAGAGTGACCTTAAATTGGAGCCAAAGGTTTAGAATCACCAAAGGGGTTGCTTCTGGTCTGTTTTATCTACATGAGGGGTGGGAGCAAGTTGTGGTCCACAGAGACATTAAGGCTAGTAATGTGCTACTTGATGCAGAATTGAATGGAAGATTAGGGGACTTTGGTCTTTCAAGGTTGTATGATCATGGAACTGATCCTCACACTACTCATGTGGTTGGAACTTTGGGGTATCTTGCACCTGAACATACCAGAACAGGTAAGGCCAGTACAAGCTCTGATGTGTTTGCTTTTGGTGCATTTATGCTAGAGGTTGTGTGTGGAAGGAGGCCAATAGAGCAAATAGGGGAATCAGGGAATGAGATTCTAGTTGATTGGGTGTACAATTGTTGGAAAAGGGGTGAGATTGTTGAGGCAAGGGATCAAAACTTGGGCACAAATTATAGGCCAGAGGAGGTGGAATTGGTGTTGAAACTTGCTTTGTTGTGCTCACATTCTGAGCCTTTGGCTAGGCCAAGCATGCGCCAAGTTGTGCAATACTTGGAGAGGGAAGTGCCTTTGCCTGATTTGTCTTTGCTTAGCTTAACTTCCACTGGATTGAATTTTGGACTGCATAATGAAGACTTTCAGGATTGTCCTATGTCTTATCCTTCTTCTATGGATAGGCCACACTCTCACACTTCTTCAATTGCTGAATCACTTCTCTCTGGGGGTCGTTGATTGTAGAAGAGACAAGTGAAATGTGCATGCATGATCAGTTTCATTGTGTTTGATTTCATCTTATTCTTAATTGGTCTATTTGTTATTTTATTTTTTGTATTATATACTACAATGAAATGGATTTTCGAAAATAGAAAAGAACATAAACAATATTCGGTGTCTTGATTCATTGTTTTATTTTACCTATTTAATTGTTATGGATCTGTTGTTTGAGTTTTCGGTGTCTTGATTCATTGTTCTATTTTACCTATTTAATTGTCATGGATCTGTTGTTTGAGTTTGTATATTTTCATTCAGTAATGTGATAGAAGATCAATGTGAAAAGAGTATCCCATTCAGGGCAGTTAAATAAATTTAGGAACATATAAACTTGTACAAATACATTATCATAATAAAAATAATAAGTTAATAATCTTTTTAAAAGAATAGGTTAATGGCTCTCGAATCTCACCACATTTCTAATTTTGAAGGGCACATACAGTAACAACATAACTTTTTTTTTTCTTTATGTCTTGTAAGATTTGACATATAGAAAGATTTGTCCCTTAGATTAGTACTATTTATAATGGAATATCTTTATAGGTTTCGTTAAGAAAGCAACTCAACTCACAAATTATGAGTGAAGGTTAAGTAAAATCCTCTACCAAGTAATGACTTCAAAAGTTCAAACCTACTTTCATTAACCAATGTTGAGTTTAATTTTCAATTGTAAAGGTTTCTCTAGTATTTACAACTTGTTACTTGAGTTAATCACTTCATGTTAATATAATCTTAGACATGTATGGCTATGTGATTTTCAATGAACTCAAATACATTTATATTGTTGGATTGTGACTAATTCGGTAGTTTTTTTTTCGTTATAACAAAAAAAAAATTACTTGTTTATTTTACGTTTCCTTAAATACCATTGGACGATGTAACACAGAAAAAATGTCAACAAAATTAAAGTGAGTTATTATTGTACTTTTCAAATTTGAATCATTGTAGCACCTCAAATGTGAACCAATAAAATAATGGGAGTTAATATGGTACTCGTATAAATTGGGGATGTTTTTATACAACCAAATTTTTAAATAAATAAACATGAAGTAATGTGTATTTTTTTTTTCTTTTTTTCTTTTACTTTTTTTCCTTTCTTAAGTAATGTGTTCTTGACAAACAAATAATCCAAGTTAATTTTCCTTTCACTAAATACTGGATTAAGTGTTTCAAATCATTTTTAAAAATTGAAATAATATTGAGCAAAATACAATAAGATTTTGTTTGTTGAAGCAGAGGAAGATTTTGCAAACTTTCTATTCATCCTACTCCTCATAATATCTCTTGAATTTATTTTGAAACTTATGAATACAAATAATCCTTGAAAAACATTGATAACTTATACATAAGTGTGAAGAATCTCAATTCATCATAATTTAAGATCATAAAAAATATCCTCACTAATCTAAAAGTTTTGTGTATATATTAAGAATTTTAATATATATATATATATATATATATATATATATATATATATATAATCGAATGAAAATGATAAGCTTACTGAAAATCAATCATTCAAATACTTGTATATATAAGAACCAACAATTCCAAAACCATTTAAATTTAAAAAGGTAGAGTAGAATTTCTCTAAAATAAATGTATTAATTAATTATTTCACATCAAGTTTTTAAATAAATTTATTTTATTTTTAAAATAAAATAAAATAAACTTGTTCATTTACTATGTTATTAGATTTCAAGGTAGGAAAAGTAGTAGCTTGAGTTTGAAGTTAAGTTTGCAAAGATTGTTATTGGTTAGGTGAAGGTATTTCATTGAATTCTTGATTGATTATAGTTGTGGTTGATTAATCCTCAAAAACAATGATGGTCATATGAATCATGGAAGCAAGAGTTTTAGTAGTCTTTTTCGTTTAAACATTTTGCTCAATGTCATTACCAAGAGTAGAAGAAAAAGATCTGTTTTTTTTTTTATGTGGACGAGTAAGAGGTAAGGTGAGGTCCTTTTTTGTTGACATCTTTTTCTTCCTTAGAGTTTTCCAATCAAATTCTTTCATGATCTCAAAAAAGAAAAATAGCATAACATTATTATATTGTTAAGTATGTCATGAGTATGCATAATTGAAATACAAAGTTTTGATACTTATTATCAAATTCAACATATCTAGTAGGAGCAAGAATGGGTAGTTGGAGAATGGATTTTGCAAGGAAGAGGATGAGGTAAACTCAAGAGTTTTATAATATCTGAAATATCCTTAGAACTCAAAAACTCATCTTGTCTCAAATTGAATTTATAAGGTTCAGATCGCCAATAAAATGGAAATATAGGTTTGTTGTCAACATTGAAAAATATGACTTTTGAATCTGGATACAAATCAAAGGGTTGAATTTTGAATTAATCATTTTTAGAGTTATAATAGGAAGAGTCGCACAAATCAAATAATCCCTCTGATTTTCTCCATTAAGTGATCTTTAGTCAACTTAAGTTCCACACTTAATTTGGTATAAATACATGAATTTATTTTTAGTAGGCAAGATGTCAAGATAGTGGCATAACTTTAAAAGGCTTTTATAAAGGCCCAACTATTAGGGTGAAGTTGTTAATAAGCTAAGTTAAAGGTCCTCAAGAGATCACATTGATGTACAGTAAAAGGAAGAGAACTATGAAGACCCTAACATAAAGCTCGATACATGAAAGTAAAGGCTAGAAATTCCTTAGGTACAAATTGGAAAACAAGCTTGTGAGGCAAACAAGGTTTGACAATAAGAATATCTTTCTAGGGAAGAGAACAAAGAGAATTCAATTGAATTTTGAAGAGATTGAATTGACAGCTCGATATTATAGCAAGAAATATATTTTCTTGCTTCTTCCTTGACCCAACCAAAACCATTTAAAGAAACATCTCTCGACTTAGTAGATTTATCAAGTTTAAATTTTTCCTTTCCTTGTTTACTTTCATAGGTGATGATTTTTTCTTCCTCTTTTAGGGTGAAAGGGGGAGACATGCATACCACATACAAAAAAGGTCACCTTTCAAGGAAGTTCTAAATGAGGAATGGAAGGGAGTGTAGGAAGATTAATAGGTGTGGTGGATGGAAGAGAACAACTAACAACTAAAATGGATGGATAAATAACAGGTGAAATGGAAGAGTTAGTCTCCTCAATTTCCCTATAATCCATTAACTGTTCAAAAGAATCTATGGAAGAAAAAGAAGGTTTTTCAAAAAATAGTTCTGAAAGAAGATGATGCATCTTCATCACCTATATTAACAACCTCACGAGAAAGTAAAGGTTGAGGATTTGATTCATCAAAGTTAGATGACTCGTAATATTCAGAATCAAAACCCATAAAACAATAGAAAGAAGATAAAAGAAGGAGATAGCAGGAACAAAGAAATTTCTAGAAAACTTTTAAAGCTTTCAAAGAATGAAGACACAAATAAATGAGAAGAATATTTGATGGTAATTACAACATAAGAGAGGAACAATACAAGTGAGAGTTTATATAATAACCAAGAGGGGATAAGGAGAATGAAGAGTTGCACTCTAAGTGAAGGGAAACATCCTTGGGGTACTAAAACATTAGGTATGAAAAAACATATTTGCACCTTTATTTGAGAATATTTTTTGAAAATGAAACAACAAATCATTTAAGAGAGATAAATGAAATGATGTCCCTTCATAATCTTCCTTTATTATTACTAAAATTTCAAACAATGAAAATGATAAAACCATACAAAAAGTTGTTTGAAATTAGTAATGATTGTAAGAAGGGTAATAGATGTCAATAAATGACACGAAATTTCAAGTACTTTTTATATTAATTTTTTATATCTAATTTTTATCATGTGACTTTATTCTAGTCTCTTAACTATTTTTAAAGCTTGAGACTAAGAGGCTTATACACGACCAATCGAGTATTAAGGATAATAACTTGAATAACCCAAGTTATAACTCATGTTTGGGATAGACAAGTAACATAAATGAACTTTATTATATTATAGTTTGGGACAACCGAGTATTATTATTATCTCAATCTAACTGGACATAATTAATAAAGTTCAAATAAGACAGTTGTTATATGTTACATGATGATAATAGTTATCAAATATGGATATAATTGTTTAGTCTTAAATTGATAATTATGAAAAATGATAATAAAAAAAGTAACTTGATCCTTAGGGTGTGTTTTCCAAGTAAACATCAAAGGAAATCTAGATAAAGTAGTATTAGTTTAGAGAGAAATAGAGAGATAGATTAAAGAGTTGAAGGAGGAGATCACACAATGAAAAAGAGTTTAAATTTTCTTTTTTCGATTCGTGCTAAGAACAAATTAAAGAAAAAAAAATCATATTAAAACAACTAATAAAATACACTAAATTTTATTAGAAGAACAAAAAAAATATTAAGTCATATTAGACAAAATTGAACATAAAAAAAATTATTTTTAATTATATAATATTATGTATTTTGTTTTTTTAAAACTTATTATGGTGAAATTTATTTAAAATAAATTGCCTAATTTTTTTTTATAATTAATGTCTTTATGTGTATTGATTAATTAAAATAATTGAAACAAAATTAAGTACAAGTAAAAAAAGTATAAAAATATGGATTACTAAAAGATTTGTTGATCACTAAAAGATTGCTTAAAATTACACAGTCCGGAAAAAAATGTGTATGGGTTGTCTATGAATGATTTGACATTGGGAGTCACTTAATAGAAGATAAAATATTTTAAATGAGTTGCTTAAATTACACCTATTAAAGATGTTCTAAGTATGAATCTTCTCAATGTATATATTTTTTAATAACTTTGAACTGATATCAAATGTCTTAAAATAAATATTTCTAAAAGTAAAAGAAAAAAGTGTCTTTTGACTCAAAAATAGTTATGAATATGGGGGAAATGATGTCTCTATCCAGTTAAAATATAAAATAAAATAAATTGTCTCGAAATTAAAAAATATATTTTATCAAGAAAATAAATATTTTTAAAATACAATATTAACTAAAATTTGATATTAAAAAAGTAAATTCAATCTTTTAAGAAATCAAATATCAAAATGAATTTCTATTATAAAATAAAATTAAAATATATTTTAACCTTTTCATAAAATTTAATGGATGAAATCATGATCCAAGCTCAGTTATAGATTATAGATTAGATAATAAATAGATATTCATTACTCACCAGCTTAGATGGTTACACGTAGACAGTTTGTGAACCCCACCTTGTTCCAATCTCAACCACACAAAAACAAGTGGAAACAGAAAAACAAAAAGGTTAGATAAGGCGCAGGAACAAGGAATGGTCGTGGCTTCCAAGTCGCAACCATAGCCATGGCTACATCATCGACCACATTGCTATCATCACTCATACCTCGAACTACCCCATCACTTAACTCTCCAAACCATCCACAATTTTTGCTTCAAAATCGTTCTTTGAATCGACCCAATAAGAGAGTTTCATTTGTTGTCCAAGCAGCAAAGCTCCCTGCTGGTGTATGCACTCCATCTTTCGCTTTTTTATGTCATACCACTTGATTATGTGCTCTTTAATTTTCTTTTTCTTTTTTTTGTTTCACTTTCTTAAATGTTGTTAACTATGAAGTTTCTTTCTTCAGGTGGAAATTCCAAAAGTGGAGCCTCAATTTAAGCCTCCATTTCTTGGATTCACTAAGACGGCTGAAGTATGGAACTCTAGAGCTTGCATGATTGGGATCATTGGAGTTTTCATTGTAGAGTTTGTGAGTGTTTTTATATGTTCATTCTGAATCACTTACTAAGCATTTTACTTTCATATGTATACTATAGGGCTTTAAGCTTTTGAATTGATAGAAGTGAGGTGGTATAATAATGAAAATAGAGTTTGAGGTGGGAAGGGTTGTTTTGAATAGGGGTGGGCAAAAAAAACTGAACTGAACTGAACTGATGGTGAACTGAACTGTACTGTACTATAAAAAACTGAACTGTTTGTAAAAAAATTGAACTGAACTGTTTAAAAAAAAAAACTGAACTGAACTGAACTGTTGGATAGTTAACTGTATTGAACTATAAAACTGAACTGAATTATAAAAATTGAACTATTTTTATAAAAGGATAAAAATTAAATGTGTCTAACATGTTATGTCTTAATGGATTAACTCGATAGTCTAATAACCAAAACTTAAAAAAAAAAAAAGATCCAAAAAAAATTGTATCAATTTTGTCGAATCTAACGGATCAATTGAGCTATGTTGGACTACTTATTTTTAGACTTAAAATTCAATGAGTTTGTTTGACTTAATTATATATATATATATTTTGAAAAATTTAAATAAAATGGAAAATAAAGTAATATTGGCAAATGTGTCTTATTTTGATAGATCAATGAGTCAAAATTGTTCAATTCAAAATATCATAACAGTTCAGTGCAGTTTAAACTGCAGTTCAGTTCAAGTTTTTATAGTATAGTTCAGTTCAGTTCAATGACACAAAAAAATAGTTCAGTTCAGTTAGTCTGAACTAATATTTAGTTTAGTTCAGTTCATAAGAACTATTTTTAAGTTCAGTATAGTTTTTATAAGTTCAGTTCAGTTCAGTTCATTTTGCCCACCCCTAGTTTTGAAAATTGATGACATGATATATTGATGTGTTTGGTTGCTAAGAACATTATTGAAATTGAATTTATAAAGAGTAACGTTTTATTTTTGTTTACCTCTCCTCCTTTTAGCATAAGCATTTGTGCTTGTTTGGGTTATTAATTGTGATTGTGGTATATTTTGCAGATAATAAACAAGGGAATACTTCAGGTGATTGGGGTTGATGTTGGCAAAGGCCTCAATCTTCCTCTCTGAACATTCTTTTTGGCTGTGCCCGTAAAGTGTTATATAAAGTCATTTTTAACTTTTTTATTTAATGGTTTCAAGAACAAATTTTCATAGTGCCGTGTCATATGGCAATCTTTTGTAATCTAAAATCGGTCTTGAGGTAAATTTCTGACATTCTTGGGTTGGCTCAAGTAATGGCTATGATATTGTGAATGCTGTGGTTGATTGTTTGGTATATGGAACTCGAAACTGCTTCTCAAGCTATATGCTAAGTTACTCATCTCAAAATATTGAGAAATTGTATGTCCGAAAATTTTCTACAAAATGTTATATAAGACATAAGAAAAAAGTTTGGAATATGATGATTGATGTAATTAAAAAACAAATTATAGTAAATGACAAATGTATTAATTGGTAGTATACATAATTTTTCAAATGTTTTATTTTTGCCACTATTTTCTTCTTTTATTTCGAAATTATTGCGCCTCTCTTTATACCTCTTTGCATTTAGAATACAGAATATTCATGCAAGCAAGTTAAATAGGAAAAATTGTCTTCTTGTAATTCAAATTTGAAGACAACGTTCAGCCCTATGATTAGGGTATTTCATTAATCTATCAACTTCGATACCAACTGAATTATTTTTTTTTCAAATACATAAGATACTTAAAAGAATAATGATTTCAGCAAATAATGCAATTAAAGATAACAAACTTTTCTGAACCAAAACTAAAATCTTATGCAAGATCATCACAACAAATAATAAATAAATTACCTTTACTATCAATTAAGAATAAATAAAAAAATATATATGAACTACATAAAACTACCAATAATCCACGTGAATTATTTTCATCATATTCAAAATACCTCATCTTAAAACTCGGTTTAGACCTAAGCATTCATCGTCCGACCCTGGATATCATAGTATGTCGGAGCGACATTTCTATTCCACGCAATATTATAGACTAACTCTACTCAACATTAATCCATGATTGGTCATGTATCATAGTCCAACTAGAACCTGTAGCAGCAAAAGGGTAACCAGAAAATGGACCAATTTACAAAATCCTGCTAATTCTAGAATCTATGATACTGGTCTCTGAATCGAGAGCATCAGCCAGAGACATCCTGCGGTGTTGCCATATAGACTCAGCCAAGTTCTTCATCTTCTCCCCTTCATCCTTTCTATTTTCTTGGACACTCAGTACTTCTGCATATGCACCTATAACATTAAGCATAATTAAGACAAGTCAGGATTAAATTATGAGCCACCACATAATGAGCCTTGAAATTGAAGGCTGGCTACTGCATAATATTATTTAGTGTCATGATGTACCTCACATGATACCAATGGACTACAAAACTATGAAGCCCACATACTTGGTACAATACGACACATACAGGAATACTATAATTTTTTTTTTGATACTTTTTGGATACATATTCATAATTAATTATCTTAAGAGTATCGGTATCTAACACAGATACGACACCGATATTTTTCCATTCTTGGAGTATCTGGACTTCATAGCTACAAAAAGATGAATTTAAAATTCCCCATGCATCATACAGCATGAAAATCTGAACTGGTGCTGTGTAATGTGTATACAGAAATTATTTGGTAAGCACTGCCTACCTTAGGAACTAACATTCAACATGAGACACGAGTAACATCATGTGGATCATGTTAGAAATGATTATAAAAGAAAAAAAAATTATAAGCACTGCTAACCATGTCTCAATTATCAAAAGAATGCCTTTTATGCATGTTAACCGTTGAATTAAGTGTCTATGGTAGGAAATGCAATTAACATTGGCACATTGGGTGGACCTAAGAATTACTTATATACAGCATACAGAACGATTATAAGAACACAGGTATAAAGCTATAGAGGCTATAAAATGCTGTAAATGAACTGATGATTTCTCAATTCTATTATCGACAGTTAAAGTGTCCATTATGCAATGCAACATTCTAAACTACAAATAACACAATCAATTCTCCTACAAGGCTAGTGAAATCGTCACTCCAATGGAAAAATTAGCAAATATGAGTTAAGCCTGAGAGTTGTGGAAGACATTTTTCTTAAAGGATTATTTTGCTACAGTAGTGAAATTTTGTTTATGCAAACACTGAACAAGGAGAATTATTTTGATCAACCCAATTAAGTGAAACCCCTAAATGAAGAGATAAGTTTTGCTAGTGGGATATAATGTTAACATTAACATTAGTGGAAAAGCATTACAAGAAGAAAAATGGGAGCAGAATGAACCAAGTAAAAAAAAAAAATGATGACTGTTAGGTCCATGAGCAAGGGACGCGGGTGATAGATATGTTTGCCGAAATCATCAGCTGAATTTGCTAATTCTAAGGTCTGATAGAAATGAAGGAAAGAATAGGGAGGTAGAAACAAGGAAGAACAAATCTAAAAATCCAGTTATGCTAGTATCATCAAGTATGGGAATATCTCTGCAATGACTTCTAAGAAGTCTATGTTTATCGCACATGATTTGGTTGGAGAATTGAAGTTACTGTAAGATGGATTAAGGGATATTAAGCAGAGGATGGGAATAGCCAATGAATAAGTAGGCAGGGAATGTGAAGGATTCAATTGAGTTTGTAAAATCTACAAATCCAGTTACGTTTGGGAGGAATTCATCACCAAGGGAATAATGAATAAATAAGGAGACCTGGAAAGCTATAATCTAAATACTGAAAAGTGAGGGGGAAAGGTTATTATGTACAAGTAGATGTAAAACAGATGTCATTAGTAAAAATCACCTCTCTCAAGGTTGCATAACAATGCTACTAACTCAAGGAAGGGACCTCAATCCAAACATTTGACAATATAAAAAGGGGGAAATTGACTGGTTTGTGAAGATGTTGTCAAGATGTTATCAATTCCAACATGGTGTCAAGTTCCACCCCAAGTCCCAACACATCTTGATAAAGTTGTCAGATCATAGTTAATAGTAATGTAGTGGATTAAAGAATTTGCCACCATACCTCTTGCAAGAGCAGCTATATCACTTCTATCTACCAATGGTGCAGCATCTACACAAAGAAAGTTTGGCTTCATTATGTGCAGGCATATATTTTATAGACGCCACATATGGAATCAAATGACACATTAACATTACCTTCAGACTCGGATTCCACCGATGGAACCTTCAAAATATCTATCACTTTTCGGTAGATACCCTGTCAACAATTCTCCTATTATTAGTATTGTTTGAATTACAACAAAAACTGTCGGTGACCAGTTAGGCATCAAAAGGGAGTGAAGCAATATTAAACAATTTAAGCAGAAAATGTGTTATAAGTTAGCACTTAGCAGACTATAATAGTCAGGTAAATCAAACAATTACATCAAAATTTGTATTTCAAGTGTTCATTCATAAAATATTTTCAAATTCTTTTTTTTTTTTACAGAAAGTAGTGTCACTTGTATGTCACTCAAGACGAATCCTGGTCAATCATTTTGTTAAATACAGAGTCCACATCTAAATTTGTATCCCCAGTACTCATCCCTAAAATATTTTGAATTTTTTTTTACAGAAAACAGTGTCACTTGAGACAAATTCTGGTCAATCAATTTGTTATATATACAGTCCACATCTCTGCATAATCAAGATAATAATATTAATTGCATATAGCAGCAGAAATAGATTTCAGTTCATAGCACCAATGCTTTAGAATAAGAACTAAACCAGATATAAGACACCCTGGGCATCTTATTACTTATCAATCATTGTTCTTTATATTTTCGGAAGAAAGAGACAATAAAAAAAATGTGACATTTGCTATAAGTTGAAGTTGATCAAATTCCATAGTTAACAATTTAGCAATTGGAGAGTTATAACCTCTTGAATCAACAGTGTACTTGAACGATCCTGAATTGCTTTACGCCTATACATAAGAGCTATGCTTGTTAAGGCAACCCCCACCGTAGGATGTTTAGAGTCTTCACCAGATATAGACAGAGCCACAATACATTAGTCAATATATACCAAGCTCAGTGATAAACATTGCAAATTCAGTTTAGGTAAAAGAATAGACAAGTCACCTCCATAGGCTTCTTCTGCCCTAGATAATGCCTGTGTCAAATAATGCTCTGCGTTACCGGAGTTACTGAAACAACAGTCATTAGTGATATATATCACCTAGGGCAACAAGAAAAGGAAGCATGGACTGTGTGGTATGGCTATGGAATACCAAACAAAGATGATTATGCCTACCCCATAAGTAATTCAAGCTGTCCTAAAGCACACATGGACCCTACAATTAATTCATCCACACTAAAGTTACCAGCTCCTAAGTATGGTCTTCCAGCATTCTTTACTTCAATAGCACCTTGTACGACATTTCGGTAAACCTCTTTTGCCAATGGATAGTCTTGTTTTTTGTGTAGGAATTCCGCATATGATAGACCAGCGGTACCTACAAAACCAAACATCAATTTGGTGTCGAATAATGCCTGCTACAGTGCCTCATAAACAGGAAGATACCATCGCTAAACTTCTCGCGGAGAGACTTGTCGAAGAAATCTTCAGCTGCACCAAGCACATAATAAGCACTCATCAACAGTAACAGCAATGAACAAATAGACCTTTAGCACAACCTGAGTCAAAATTGCCATTCACAAGTTCAATCAGCCCTTTTAGTGCTTTAGCACGAACAAATTGCGCCTCATAATCTCTTGCTTGCTCTTGATTCTCTACAACCTTCATGCACTTATCAGCTGCCACTGCTGCCAAATCATCCTACATAGAAAATTTTCACTGCATAAACATGAAAGATTCTGCAAAAAAGTAGCCAAATATTTTACAATCAGTTTGCAAATACCAACCTGCCTCAACTCTAGATGAAGCCCAGCCTGAGTTTCAAGAGCAGCAACTACAGCAAAAATCCAATATAGAACTCAAATTCATTGGCAAAAAATGATTTAAAAACTACATAACCATGAGTAGGGTTCATTAAATAAAGAGTGAGACCCACATAATTTTGTGATTCTCAAGAATCTCAACACATTTCAGTCAATAATAAAAAAGTGTGTTAGAAAGAAGTATGTCAGATAGTGTGTTGATACCATTTCTCTGATGATGATAATAATAACAATAAACTATATTAATAATAAATCTATACTTACTAATAATAAAATCGATTCTCTCATTTCGTGTCCATTTTGATCTTTTCCATTTTACACAATAACTATCCATAACCTCTAACAATTGTCCAAACTATCATGATAGATCTGTTATTTTCTCTCTTTGTTAAAGGAGGCACGTAGTGCCTTTTTTCCCACTAGTTAATTTATAACATTATATAAAAGGGATATTTTCTTTGGTAACCGCTTTGGTCTCCATTTTATATGGACTATTTTGCCCTTTTTATTTTACTTAGAAATCTAAATCGCTATTTCTCTCCCAATGTGTTTTTGGTCTCAAATCATTTACTCTTTTTAAGCAACAACCCAATTATTCCCATTATTATTTTTTTCTTATAAAATTATAAAAAAAAGAGATACAAAGTGTCTCAATTCCACTTGTTAATAATAAAGGGGATTATCGCATTTCATGTCCACAATTTCTATACCTATTTTACCCTCAATTACTGTTAATAAAAACTGTCATAAATATTAAAACAGTAAAATTGTCATAAAAAAAATTATCACTTTCTGTTTTTTCAGGAAGACCTAGAGTTCCTTTTCCCCTACTACTAATAAGAAGAAGGTTTAGTTACCCTTTTGGTTCCTGTAATTTCATCAATTTTACCTTTCAATCCATATAATTGAAAATATTCCATTATAGTTTCTATACAAACGGTTTTTGTTTCTCTTTTTGTCTCTATAATTTCATAAAATTACTTTTTAGTCTTTATAGAAATGATGAAAAGAACTAAAAGGGAACAAAACTGATACATATAAGGACTAAAATTGGACATTTTTAAGTATAGGTATAGGTTAAGTTGATGAACTATAAGAAACAAAGGGTAACTAATCCTAATACTAATAATAATAAAGCAATAGCACTGACCAACAAAAAGTAAAAGAACTAACCTCTAACACCCAAGTTGTATGCATTATACTGCATTCTCTCCTCTTCCACCATATAGCTCAGTATATGCCATATAACGTGTAATAACTGTCATGATTCGTGTATTGAAGATTTAAGAGGAAAACATAAGATAATATAATGATTAAATAAACCATCAATTTCATCTTCATAGTATATTATCCTCTCTACTGAATGATCTCTAGAACAATAAAACTATTTAACTAACAAAAGTATTGAATATCTATCGCTTTGTCCCAAGCTGGCGTATATTAGTCAAGTTCATGGACTAATTTAAAGGGTTTTTTAATATCCAGGGGATCATTTAGTATGATTTTATTACTTTTAAGACTATTTATGTTTTTTCATTTTATACTTTAGGGACCAGTTAGTTAGGAGAAAGGGTAATACTTCAAGGATGAAATATATTATTTACTCTTCTATGATTATGAACCGATTTAGATATAAGTTAGAAGTGCTTTTGAGATTTGCTTTACTGAAAATAGAGTCGTTTGCAGCACAGAAGCTATCAAAAATACTTCTAAACTTGCATTTAAACAAACTTTATAGCTTGCATAACAATTAATATGATACATGTTTAATGATCCCGTTTAAGAAAATGCTCTTAAATAATATATAGTTTGATTGGCTACAAACTTAAAAGAGCTTTTAAAAGCTTCTTTTATGAAAATAAAGAACTTTTTCTAATAGAGAAACCAACAAAAACACTACTAACATGCATTCAATCAGGTTTAAAGTGTATCCGAGAATCTCCAGGCCATCAAATCCAAATGCTATTTCTAAGCATGATATATCTTTCATTATTTGTTGTAGATGGGGCTCAGCTGATTCTAGAGAACAACTGTGGGGAAAGTGTATGGCCAGGGATACTTGGTGGAGCAGGACAACAGACTCCAAAAGATGGTGGAGTGCATCTTGGAAGTGGTGAAGAACCAGTGCTTGATGTGCCAGAGAAGTGGTCAGGGAGAATTTGGGGCAGGCAGGGTTGCGACTTTGACAATGATGGAAATGGTCACTGTCTCACAGGTGATTGCAATGGGAAGCTACACTGTAGAGGGCAAGGAGGGGTGCCACCAGCAACAGTGGTTGAAATGACCCTTGGATCCTCCTTTTCTCCCTTGCACTTCTATGATGTGAGTTTGGTTGATGGCTTCAACTTGCCTGTTTCCATGAAGCCAATTGGGGGTGGAATTGGGTGTGGTGTGGCCTCCTGTGAGGTGGATTTGAATGTTTGTTGTCCTTCAGCCCTTGAGGTGAAGAGAAATGGCAAGGTTGTGGGGTGTAAGAGTGCATGCTTGGCTATGCAATCAGCAAAGTATTGCTGCACAGGGAGTTATTCTGACCCTAAAACATGCAAGCCAACCCTTTTTGCTCATCTCTTTAAGGCTATTTGTCCTAAGGCTTATAGTTATGCATATGATGACTCTAGCAGCCTTAACAGATGTAGGGCTCCAAGATATGTTATCACTTTCTGCTCTCCCCCAATCTAAAAGGATCCACATGACAAAATGAAGTTGAAGTTGTTGTTATAGAATTGCAAATGCATTAGTCATCAGTGAAGAACTGTTTCTCGAATGATATTTTGGTTTTTTTTTTAATACTCAATTGGTTTAGTTATGTGTTTTTTAGAGTCTTTTCTTATTCTTCTTGAATAGTCATTGTTCTTTATCATTAATATAGTTGAAAAGAAGGGTAGATTGATAATACACAGCTTTTCACATTTTTGCTCATACTATTGATTATGCTTTGCCATGTAAGAAGTTTAATTAGTCAAGTTAACTTGCACCCAAAAAAAGGGAAAAGAAAATATTGTAATCATGTGACCAAGTACTTGCATCCAAAAAAAAGGGGAAAGAAATATTGTGCAGCATCATTTACAAGAAATAAAAATCGTGTAATAACTGTCATGATTCGTGTATTGAAGATTTAAGAGGAAAACATAAGATAATATAATGATTAAATAAACCATCAATTTCATCTTCATAGTATATTATCCTCTCTACTGAATGATCTCTAGAACAATAAAACTTAAGTTTTTTTTTTAAGATGTTGTATTAAATCATTCATGCTTTAATTGTGATGAGAGAAAAATCGGCCAAAAATAGCTTTATTGTGCAGGGGGTTTGAAAGCCTGAAATCTCATGTTTACTTAGTCCTAATAGACACAACATATTGCCACAAAAACAAACGAGCTATGTTCTAAAATTTTGGTTATTCTAACTTTTCACACATATTATGAAATATATAATTTATATACATTTAGATTAGGTTACTGACGTTTATTAATTTATAAATTTTTACAATATTTTAATTACTTCATTTTATGTTCTTGTAAAACATAATGTTCTACTTAAAATATAGTATTAAATAATATTTTGTTTAAATTAATCTTAATTACTCAACTACACATAAGAGTATGATTAAAAGAAAAAATTTACATTAACATGTATTGCAATCCCCCAAATCAAGGTTTTGAAACAAAATTAAAAATAAAAATGAAGAACCAAAGTTTTAGGATGGAGGGAGTAATAAATTACTCTCATGATTAACACTTACAAAAATTTCTAACCAGTGAAATAGATAATAATTAGCTAAAATTAATAATCTATTTTCAAAAGGGTTGATTTCGTAAAAAATCAAATAAGCTTTTAGATAATGTAAAATTAAAATAAATTCAATAAGCACCCACAAAACTTTAATACAACAACAACAAAAGAATCTGAGTATTTCCATTTTGTTGTCATATATAACTCCATTAGAACATAATATCAATGATAGAATATCAATTACAAATTAAGATGCATGAAGTATTCAACAATTTGAAATAAATAAATAAACATTAATCGATGCAATTTTTATTTAAATTTCTTTAAAAATTTAGATAAATCTCAACTACATTCCAACTCAAGTGAGTATGTGTAGCAATAAATTTTAGTAACTATGTGCATCTATTGTAGTGTATTAACTTCATTAAACTCTAGGATGAGAAATTGTGATATGTGAAAACTTCACACATAACTAAAAACATGTTGATAGACTTCCTAACCAAACTATTGTGAGGTGTTGTAGTGCGTGATCAAATGTAAGTGCACTATGAGTGCAGTGTTATTTGGCAATCCAATAAGAGTTGAGAAATTTGTACTTTAAACAACTAGGAAAGGTTGTTGTTATACTCTAACAATAATTGATGGAGTGTGTTCCTAGTTAAGATGTGTATGAAGTGTTATGGTATGAGATCTAATCTAGGTACATTGTGAGTGCATTGTTATTTGATAATCTTGTAAGAGTTGTGAACTTTGTGATGTAAACAATCACGAAAGGTTGATTAAAATATTTATTTTAAACAAAAAAACTCCCGAACTAATATGAGTATATTCATATATGTACAAAAAGGGAACTGTATTTTTTTTAAAATACATTCAACTTCTCTTCATGTATTATTTTATTCACTTCATTATTAATATAAACATGATATAAAATACATGTCTATCTTAGATATTTATGTAATGTGTTTGACTTCCTATAAATTTTCAAACACCTCTTTGTAAACAACATTGATTTTTTTTTTTTGTAATGATGCATGCTTTCACATCAACATCAACAATCAAAATCTTCAAATCTTTCTTTGATTTTACTCTATATATAGCAATATAAAATTATCCATATATAAAAATTAATCTTGAATGATATTGTCTAATCTTAAAAAAAGATCATCTTTAACATTTGTTTATGGTCATTTCAAAAACATAAACAAAGAAGAAATGATCTCTTTAAAACTTAAATGGAAAGTCAAGATATTGGTCATACACTGTCAATATAAAT